CAGAAGGGAAGCCGGGGTCCACGGCCCCAGGGGACATCAACATCCCCATGGAGAGACCCAGCCAGCCCCCTCAGCAGGGCCCCAGTGCACAGTGCTGGACTTGGTGCCCTGCTTTGTGGGACCCTGCTGTCTGTGTCTGCCTCACAGGCTCCTCCAAAGCCTTGGACACCAAGGAGATTGACCTGGAGGGGAGAGCCGAGGAGAGCCGGCCCCCGTACCACGTGCTTGCCCGACACCTCCTGTACCCAGGGTCTCACACTCTGCGCTTCCCTGTGCCCGATGAGAAGGTGCCCTGGGAGGTAGGAGCTGCGACACCGGGCGGTGGGGCTGGGAGGAGAAGGCTTGAGGCATATCCTGGCAGTGGTGGGAAGAGGAGCCCATCATCCCATTTGAGAGCTGTTGTTCTTCCCAGCCCTGGGACCCTTGGCTTCCCAGAGTTACTGCTTGAGTGACCCCAAAGAACAGGGCTAGGATCCATTCCTGCTAGGACCTGTAAGGCTAGGAAGGCCTAGAGATGCTTGGTTGGACACAGAGGGTACAACCACCCCCCTCTGCATTTCCTGAAACACGGCTGGCTCAGGGGCAGGGACAGGATCCAGCACTGGCCTCCATGGGGGTGGGAGCCCTCCAGCCAAGACTGAGCTCAGCCCCCAGCAGAGCCTGGAGCATCATCTGCAGAGTGATGCCATGAGCTGGGCAGAGGAGAGACTGGGCCATAAGGTGTCTCTGGGGTCCCAGCCCCTGCCTGCTGTGAGAGCAGGGGCACAAGCGGGGCTGACACAGCCATGTGTTGTGCAGGTGGATTTCCCACTCTACGACCCCCCTGCCTACTCGGCTGACCACAAGGACATGGCTGTGCAGGATCCCTTCAGCCTGTGAGTGTCCCCCCACGGCTCCCAGCCCTCTCCCCCTTCCCTGGGTGGCACAGCCAGCCCTCCCTGCCGGGCTGCCTCCCACCCTGCAGCTCCTTGGAGTCTCTCCTGAAGATCAACTACAACACCATGGACGGGCTGATCGACCGGCAGAGCTTCCACGGGCTCTACGCCGTGCAGGATGGGCTGCCACTGTGAGTGCCACTGCCCAGCAGCTGCCTGCCAGGAACAGCACGGGGACACGGAGAGACCAGGGCTGCCTGGGCACATCCATCCCATTCCCACTTTCCTGCGGCTAATGGTGGGGCAGGGATAACTGCATGCACTGTCCTTAGGGCTCATCCCCCCCAAAAAATCCAAAAGATGTGGGATGCAGTGGTAGGGAAGGGTTCTGGGGGTGCACAGAGGGAGTCCTCACTCTCACCCTGGCAGGAACCCCATGGGCAGGACGGGGCTGCGAGGCCGTGGGAGGCTGCACTGCTTCGGGCCCAACCACGCCCTGCACCCCGTGGTGACCCGGTGAGTGTTCCTGCTCCAGCACGGGCTGAGGGCTGCAAAAGGGGCCATGGGGTCACCTCAGAGAGCTGCCAAACCCCACACTGCCAACGTGACCGCTGCTGGGCAGGGGGGAGCCACGGCCAGCTGCAGCATGACAGGGGCCTCTCCCACAGCTGGAGGAGGAACTTGGATGGGTCCATTATAAGGAAGAGCCTGAAGAAGATGCTGGAAGTCCTGGTGGCCCAATACCCCCTGTCAGATGTCTGGGCTCTGCCTGGGGTAAGGGCTGGCAGGAACCAGAGCTGGGGAAGGGGAAGGGGAGAGGAAGGGAAGGGGAAGGGGAAGGGAAGGGGAAGGGAAGGGAAGGGAAGGGAAGGGAAGGGAAGGGAAGGCATCCCACAGAAAAGGGGGAATCACAGGTGTGTGCTGCAGCCTGGCTGAGGAGGTGCCTCTGCCCCTCCTGCAGAGCAGCTGCATGCCAGGCTGCTGGGGAGCCGTGGTCTCCTTACATTCACCCACTCACCCTGACCCGCTGTCTCCAGCCTCTCCCTCTTCCCTCCATGGCTTCAATCCTCACGTCTTTCATGTGATCCTGTTAAGCCATTGGTAAAGCATCCTTTGGCAGATGTTGGATCAGGCCAACTCTGCTTGGGCAGAGCTGAGGACTTGGGGCAGGAGAGGGAGGATGGGAGGCACCAGCAGACCTTGTGGTATCTCCTGCAGTGGTGGCAGGCAACTGCCCGATGGCCAAGCTGGTGGCAGGGAGGGAGGCTGGAGTGTGCTGTGGCAGGCCCCAGAGCTGACATCTGCCTTGGCACAGGGCTCACTGGAGCCAGGAGAGACGCTGCCCCTGAAGCTCAAGTGGATCCTGCGCCGGGAGTTCTGGCCCCAGTTCCAGAACCTGCTGAAGCAAGGCACTGAGGTGGGGGCACATGGCTGTCCCTGGGGTGTCGGGTCACAGGAGGGCTCAGGGGCATGTGGGCATCACCCTGGATGACACACAGGTGTCATCAGGCTACAGGCACGTGGGGACATCACCGCAGCATGGGGTCATGTGGGCATCATGGTGTCACAGGGGCACGTGGGTGGCCCAGGGCACAGAGGCAGGGTGCATCACCTCTTGGCCACTGCTCCCACTGGAGAGCAAGGGGCAGGGGAGGTGAGGATGTGCCATAATCCATGTCTGGGAGTCAGGGAGCAGCCCAGAGACCCGAGGGAGGGCTGCCCACAGCAGAGTCTGTGCCTGCAGCAGTGGCTCCCCATGGCTCCAGCTGCAGCAGGAGCGGGCTCTGGCCTCCAGTGGGGCAGAAGAGCTGCAGGGCAATGCCCCACCCACCCCCAGGGTGCCCTCAGAGAGGTGATGAGGGCTCTGCTCACGTGGCATCTGCATGCACAGGTGCACAAGGGGTACCTGGACGACCCCCGCAACACGGACAACGCCTGGGTGGAGACGGTGGCCATCAGCGTGCACTTCGACACCCAGAACGACGTGGAGATGAAGCGGCTGAATTCGGTGAGGGGCTGTCACCCCCGGGGCTCCCTGGCCCAGCTCACAGCTCCCTGGGCACAGCAGCCACATCTCCAGAGCCACATCTCCACAGGACTCTGGCTGCAGGCAGCGGGGGAAGAACAGGGGATGAACACGGGGTGGCACCTCAATGCGTGCCCCAAAAGGAAAGGCAGGAGGTTGGGGATGGAGGTGCTCCTGAGCGTGGCTGGCAGCACACGTGTGACATCTGTCCCTTTGCAGTTCCTCCAGGGCTGCGACCCGGAGCTGTGCATCCGCTGGCAGGTGCTGGACAAGAGGATCCCCCTGCATGCCAACCACAAGGAGCTCCTGCGCAAGGTCTCAACCCTCCTCGGTGCCTACTACTGAGGGACGCCTCGTGCTCAGCTCCTGCTGCCCCACACCAGGTTCTGGCTGGGACCTGCAGCTCCACCCCAGCTGCCCTGGGAGAACACGGGAGCTGCTGGGGTTGAGGCACTCCGGGTGCCTCTGTGAATGTATGTTGCAGGTCTCTGGGAGGAAAAGAGTCCCCTCCCTGAGGGCAGGGGCTGCCTGGGCAGTGCATCCCAGTCGCCTGAGCCACCAAGTTCAGCCCCAGCTTGTGTCTTGGTGCTTCCACGTCAGCCCACAGCACTAGCCCAGAGTTTGGGCCACACAGAGCCACAGGGCTTTTCCTGTGAGATGGTCCTTCTGTCCACTCCAACCTGCTCTTGGCTTCGGGGTGCGCACTGGGGGCTCGCCAGTCCCAGCCATCCCTCCACCAGAATATCCATCACTGCTCCCTGCTCCTGCTCTGAGCCCTGGCAGCCCCACTGCCACAGCTCCCAAAGGATTGCTCTGGAGAAGGCCTGGAGTTGCTCCTGTGGTGGTTGTACCCATACCTCTGGTTGCCTCAGACCCAACAACATGGTCCTGAGCTGTGATCCAGCACTTCTGAAGGTGTGAGCAGCTCTTGGCTTATATACCTATGGTTTCACAGCCCTGCACAGGCCCACCTGCCATGCCCCAAAGTGTACGTGATCCTGCTTGTGTATGCTGAGCACTGGCTTGTAGCTAAACTTCCCTCCCCTCTCTGAGCCAAAGCCCCAGCTAAACGTCACCTGCCTGTCCCCACCCCTTGTGCACAGGGATGGGAAGTGGCAGCTTGCTGGGACACAGGTGATCCGTGCTCTGGTGTTCCTTGGGCAGGTAGGGACAGGAGAGGGGACATCTGTGTGCCAGTCCCAGACATCCCTGCATTTAAGGGGTTTTTCACTCACATTTTCTGTTGCCTGCCATGGGGAGAACAAGGCACAGTGGACACATTTTTTGATCATCCAGAAGAGCCCCACGGTGGCATGTTGTGCTTGGGACTGCTCAGGAAGGGATTGTGGCTCTCCACCTCCTCCCAGTGGATCAACAACTGGCCAGCCAAGGCTGCTCATCCCATGCTGGTGGCCACCATGGCACAACTGCAGTTTCACCAGTGATGCACGGGGGTTTGGCAAGGGGAGGGGGCTCAGCCTGGCAATGCATTCAACCCAGCTCAATAAACCATTATTAAACAAGGCAGGCTGCTGGTGTCTCACAGCCGTTTAACCAGGGGCCGTTCCTGGGGGCCATGCTTGGAGCACACCTCCAGGACAAGCCCAATTCCTACCCCAATCTTGCTGTACAAACTCACTTTGCCCGCAGACTCACCCCCAGTGATGGCTGGCTCACAGAAGGGTTTGGTTTGGACGGGACTTCAGTGATGGTTTCCTTTCAAGCCCCCTGCCATGGGCAGGAGCACCTTGCAGGCTGCTCGAGAGCGTTTAGAGCTGATGTGGGAGCTGTGCTCCGAAGTGCTGGCACGGCACCTCCTCCCACTGCCCCTGGACTGATGTCTGCTCCTGCTCCCGTCCCCTCCAGGCCGGGGCACGGCCGGGGAGGGACGATCCTGCCTCACAGCAGCTGATGAAGCTTCTAGACTCTCAGCCTCCCAAAACTGCGGAAATCTCATTAGCAGCACTCATTTCTGCGCTCCGGGCTCCGCAGCCCCTGGGGTTCTGCCCGCTGTCCCGCCGCGCTGCTGCCCCCGCCCCGCTCCCGCACCGCCCCCGGCCCCGCACCGCCCCCGCACCGCCCGGCCCGGGCCCGGCAGCGCCCGCAGCAACAGGTGGGGCCGGGCGGGATCCGCCACCGAACCGGCACCGGCACCGCGCCCAGAGCCCGAGCGAAGCAGCGCCGGTAAGTGACGGCCGGGCTCCGGGGCGGCGGGGCGCTGGGGGGCTGCGCGGAGCAGTGCCGGGGCCGGGCAGGGCAGCCGGGGGGCCGGAGCATCTGCCCCGCACACCCCGGGCACCGGGAGGCTGCGGCTCCTGAGGGCCCCCCGAGCCCTTCCACGCGGTGGGAACCGGCATCGCAAAACGCATCCTTGTTCCCCCGGAGAGACGTCCTTGTTCCCCCCGTCAGAGCCCGGGGCATTTTGCAGAGCCAGAGGGATTCCCGGGAAGCCCAACTTCAGACGCCCGGGCAGAATCCACTGCTGTGGGCAGGGCTGCGGGCAAAGCTGCAGACAGCATCCTTCAGGTGAGCACACCTCGGGTATGAGCGTCCCTCTGTGGTACCCTGAGCACGGGCACACCTGAGGGATGCTGCTGCTACCAGGGGAATGCCATTAGCAGAAGGATTCTGCTACCAGAGGGACAGCAACTTGGTGCCCATAATGACATCACATGGGACATTTAATTCCCATGAGAAATGTTCCCTTGGCCTCCCAGTCCTCCCCTCCATGAGGATCTCTTCTCCCAGGATGGCCAAGGCAGCAGCAGGGACATGAGCAGCACCAAAGGCAGAGGAAAGGTGTCCCACCTGCTTCACCTCCTGCCTTGCCCCTGGGAGCACTGGGGCGTCCTTTGGGGTTCCTACACCACCCCTTTTACTGTGCTAGGCAGTGGCTCCTCCCTTTCCCTCCCACCCCCAGAGTCAGGCTGTCAAACCACACTCTTTGTTTACTTAAAAACAAACTCACCTCCAAACACTTCTTTGGTGAAACTTGTGGAAACCTGGCTTGTATCAGCTCACAGACCAGAAGGGAAGGGAAGGGAAAGCAAAAGAGCTCCACATCTTGTTGTTTAAAACCCTGGTGGTGATTAAATCAGTCTGATGATCCTTAGAGTCTGACTCATCACTTTTTTTAAACACTCAGGGCTGGTGAGATAGGGATTTACTGCTGCTGCTCTCCAGCAGCAAACTACTGCATCCCCCCTGGAGACTGGCAGCAGGATGGGGCAGAGGCTCCCGGGCTCATCTCCACACCCCATCTTGCAGCTCCCTTTATCCACCTGTGTGGTCTCTGCAGAGACAGGGCTAGGGAAGCTGGGGTTTCTATTTTTAATGAAACCAAATTAAGCTGTCCTGGGAAAGACAGCCAGTGTCACTCCACCCTCGTTCTGCACTCTCATGAGCCCAGCCTCTCACCCCTTTGCCAGGGCACATCACACATGAGCCATGCCCGGTGTTCCAGGAAATAACGCCGTGTCACATCCCCTCCACCCACAGCTTCCCTTCAGCCATGGGAGAGGCCTTGCAGGAGCACCCGGGGGCCGTCCTGCTGCCCAGGAGCTGCTGCCGCCCCCGGGGAGCTGCCAGCAGCCATGCTGAGCTGGCTGCCTGCAAGATGACCCTCACCACCAGCACCAGCACACCGGCCCCCAGCGTGGCCCAGGCTTTCTTCTGCCTCCTGCTCTGCATCCCCTGGGGCAGCTCCTGCCCCCCCAGCTGCCGGTGCACGGAGCGGGCAGGGGCCAAGGCCGTCCTCTGCAGCTCCCAGCACCTGGAGGAGATCCCCAAGGACATCCCCAGAGACGTGGTGTTCCTCAAGCTGGATGCCAACAGCATAACCAGGATCCCCAGCAATGCCTTCAGGCACCTCTCCCACCTGGAGGAGATCGACCTCTCCAGGAACGCCATCGAGAAGATCGACAGGGCAGCTTTCAGAGGGGTGGCAGCGGGGCTGAGGAGCCTCGACCTGTCCGGCAACCGCATCCGCAGCATTCCCAAGGAGGCCCTGCTGGCTCTCAAGGCCAAGCTCCGGCTGGCCAACAACCCCTGGCACTGCGAGTGTGCCCTGCAGGAGCTGCTGTGGGAGGCGCGGCTGGACCCGGACTCCGTGCGGGACATCACCTGCCACACGGCCCCGCGGCAGGAGTACGTGGGCAAGCCGCTGCTCCAGGTCCTGGACGCCGGTGCCAACTTCTGCAGCGTGCGCCAGAGGACCACGGACGTGGCCGTGTTCGTCACCATGTTCGGCTGGTTCGCCATGGTCATCGGCTACGTCGTGTGCTACGTGCGCCACAACCGGGAGGGCTCCTGCGGGCACCGGGACCAGCTGGGGACACGGCCGGGCGCCCAGGCCCGTGCAGAGAGCACCAGCACTGCCCTGTAGAGCAGGGCTGGGTGCCAGCTTCAGGCTTCTTCACAGGGAGCCCGTGGGCACCTGGTGGGCATCAAAGCTTCTCGGCGGGATTCTGCAGTGCTTTCTTCGGCTGAGTGCCACCAACCCCCCTCCCCAGTGACACTGGACTGAGCGTGAGCAAACGACGCCGGGGAGGGATCCAGGGACACCCCGTGTGGGCCTGTTCACAGTGACCACGTTCTGGGGACAAACAGCCCCAGCCGGAGCTGGGCTTGCAGGGAATGCAGCCGCAGTCACACGCTTGTGGTTGGGAGACAACAAGGCAGGGAGAGATGGGCTGTGGGGCCAGGCGGTCCCTGGGGTGCAGAGGTCACTGCAGAGGGGTCACCCCATCCTGGCTCCATTGAGGCATCAGCCTTGCCAAGGGCAGGACAGCCTCCCCACGGCCCTCACTACCAGGGGAGCTCCAAAACCTCTGATTTCCTCAATAAAACCCTGCACTTAGGAAAAGCCCTCCGGGTTTGTGGTGTGCTGGGAGATGAGTGGCCAGGGAGATGAGTATCCAGGGAGGGTGGTGGTGCTCGTGGTGCTTGGGGGGCTTATCCTAATTCAATCTCTCCCAAAGCAGACCAGCCTGAATTCAATGTACCAGCACAACTCCCATTAGGTGCCATCCCCTCCCACCCTCAGCTGAATCTCAAGCAGGGACCAGTGGCCAAATACATCTGGTCTTGCCTTATCTTGCCCTTCCTGGGGGCTGAATTAGGGTTGTTGTTAGGCTGTTGCTCACAGCTCATTGATGGAAGCAAATCAAATTCTCCCTTTTCTCACAAGGGGGAAATGGCCCTTCCTGGCAGAGCCAGCTGCACTGAAGAGGGAAAGGAGGGAGGGATGCAGAGGCTCACCCTGCAGGTCTGGACCCTGGAAAGGCTCAGGCTGTGACCTCCAGCCCTTCTTGATGGGGCTGGCACCTCATGAGTCCTCCCCAGTGCCAGGAATGGATGGCTCAGCCCAGCAGGAATCCTGGCTCTGGGGAAGGCTGAGAGGTGCTCTGGGACACTCAGGTGAGGCAGGGGGTCCTGGGTGGGGAGAACAGAGGGGCACCCTCACCCCAGCACACTCCTGTGCTCAGGGGCACCTCGTCCTCACTGGGCTACCCACAGCCACAGACATTCAGGGGTGACTTGTTGGGTGAAGGGATGCCTCTGCCATGGGCAGAGCAGCTGGGTTACCCATGGGGGAGAAAGGCTGGGTGCACACAGTTTATTAGAGCTCTGGTTAAGCAAAAGAGTCCCCCAGCAAAGGCGAGGAAAAGAAAAAAGGCCACAGTTTCACCTGAAGCAGGTTTGGGTTTTTCCCACTCCCGTGGTAGCTGGATGGGTCCAAATGCAAAGCAGGTTTTCTCAGGGGTCTCTAACCCCATGCAAAGGTGCACGGACCAGCAAGGACCAGCACTGGCCCTCGAGCACACCAACAGGTCTGTACAACACACACAACACTTGTTGAGGGAGACCCAACGCAGCCGTGGCAGAGTGGGAGGGTGGGCAGGCACCAGTGGCAGTGGCACGAAGGTGACATGAAGAATGGCTGCAGTGTCAAACCAGGTGGTCCTCAGGAACATCACAGCCCCAGGCAGGCAGAGCCAAGCCTGGACACGCTTTTCCCCACAATTTCTCACAGTTCACTCCCCTCTGCCATGCACCCATCCCAGCAGCTCATGCTCTGCTCTGTCTCTTCCTGCCCTGGCTTTGTGCAAGCTTTGGCCACAGCTACTGGCAGCTCTAGGTCCCTCCTGGGGACTGGAAACTGCCAAGCACCATGGCCTGGTAAGCCACGGGGTGCACCCAGGCTCCAGGAACCTTGGGTAGGACATGGCTCTGGAGCATGGTGGCAGAGCTTTCCCAGGAGAAACAGCCTCTGGACAAGGCTGCAGGGAGCCCTGGAGCTCCCTCCTCCTCCTCCTCCTCCTCCTCCTCCTCCCTTCAGCTAGCCACTGCCCAGCTGATGCTGCAGCCATTCCCGGGCTCTGTGCTCCATCTCCAGCCGGCAGCCCAGCCGGTCCTGGCGATGGGCTGAGCGTGTCTCAGCCGCCTCAGGTGGTTTTCAGCTTGAGCACCTTGGAGAGCGGCTCCCTGGCGCTGGAGTAGAGCAGGTAGGAGCCCTCAGCGGTGTGAAACGCCTCCCAGTCCCTGCAGCCCACCGTGGGGAGGTGGTGGGCTGCCACGAAGCCCTCGTAGCCTTGCCACCTGCACAGGGAAGGCAGTTAGCTCCTGGGGTGGGCACCTGGGAAAGGCAGGGAGCTGAGCCCTGGGGCTGCCATCTCCAGCTCCCTGCTGTGGCTCAGGGTGGGATGTCCCTCAGCGGGGCTTCCCATGCCTGCCTGAAAGCAGGGAGCAGTCCTACCCCTGCTCCCTGGGCAGGTGCAGCAGGCTGTGGCCGTGCAGGGTGGTTCCTGCCGGAGCAGCCCCCAGCCTGGCCTCTGCAGTACCTGTAGATGATGCTGTTCACAGAGAAGGTGAAGCCATCGAAGGAGTTGGCCACCACCAGGAAAGAGTCGTCTCCCACTGAGAAGAACTCCCAGTCCAGGGCACTGGGGATGGAATGAGCAGAGGGACAGATGAGATTAACCCTGTGTGGCCACCCCACCCCCCCAGTCTCTGACACCCTGAGCACTCACAGAAAACCCTGCTCTTCCCAGGCTGTTCCTGAAAGAAATCCACCCTCATTCCCAAATCTAGCCTTCTCCCAGCTCCCACTGGGACTTGGTGCCAAGGAGCCATCAGCCATCACCCTCCCCACCAGTCTCAGTCCCTGGGAGTGTGAAGCCTGCAGGAGCCCTCCAGGAGACAAGCAAGTGTAGTTTTAAACCGAAAGAGGAGAGGCCCTGGCACAGCTGCAGCCATCCCATCCCTGGAAGAGTCCAAAGCCAGGCTGGACAGGGCTTGGAGCAACCTGGGCTAGTGGAAGGTGTCCCTGCCCATGGCAGGGGTGGAATGAGATGGGCTTTAAGGTCCCTTCCCACCCAAACCATTCTGGGATTCTGGAGACCTTTGCGTTGCTCAGGGGAAGGACACAGACCAAGGAGCACCCTGAATCCTTGCACAGGTACCTGTAGGTGAGAAGGTCCTGGAATTTAACAAACATCTGGGCCGTGATGTTCAGCTCATAGATGGAGGAGTTGATGGCATAGAAGTTGGAGGGTGCTGGCATCCCACTGTCATAGCTGTGGCTGTTGGCAACAGCCAGGAAGACTCTGTCCCCAATGTGGAAAACCTCCCAGTCAGCTGCACCAAATGTCTGTGGGGAAGGAGGCCGTGAGAAGCTGGATGTGGCTGCCCTGTCTAAACACAGAGGGGGGACTGAGGAGCAGTGGCCAAGCCTTACCAGGATAGACTGGAAGAGCTGGAAAGAGCCACTGAGCCAGATGTAGATGTGTGAGTAGATCTTAGTGGACGTGCCATTGAATGTGTTAGCTACAGCCAGGAAGGAATATGGTCCGATGGTGAAGAATTCCCAGTCGTAGGCTCCAGAGGTAGGAATGGTCTGGTTAGTTTCAAACAGCCCTGTCCTGGGGTTCCACCTGTATATCACACTGTCTATATTGTGGTTGTTCCCTGGGAGAGACAGATGTGCACCATGAGGGGAAGGAATTCCTGCTTTGTGTAGGGGACAAGACCCCAAAACAGGCTCAGCTGCGTTAATGTTTGCCAGCAGGTCACGAGGCTGTTTGCAAATGACCTGTTGCTCCCCAAGAAGTAGCCAAAGAGATTCTACAGCCTCCATCCCTACCTAGTGTCTCCATTCCTAGAGCCTCCATCCCATGGAACACACCAACAGCTTGTCCCAAGTGCACAGCAGCAGCTTTGTGGCAGCCCTGGCAGAGGAGGGACAGGCAGGGACTTTATCCCCACACAAGCTGCACTCCCTGCCAGCATCACAGGGTGGACAAGCTCTGCTGGCTGTCTCACAGTCCCAGCTGTGTCCCTATGCCACAGCACATGTCACAGTTGAGACAGCCACCATACACAGACCGTCACCACACAATTTCAGAAAGCTTCAGCCCATACTCACCACAAACTGTGTGCCTACATCCCTGGGCTTCCCCCTGCCCTAAAGCACGTGCTCCATCAGCTCCTGGGCTCAGCTCGAGCATCTCCACCTCATACCTGTGTGGGACCCAGCAGGCTTTAAATCTGCATTGCAACAGGGACTTGGGTAAAGAAAGGCTGCAGGAAAAGTGGGAATGGCCACATGGATAAGTGGCAGCTCCTCAGAGACTGAACCTCCAGTCCCCATGAAGGGAACCATCCCCAGTCTGGCTTGGCCATGATGGTCTCAACCCCCGTGTGATGTGCATGGCTGGCAAACTGCCACAAGGGAAGGTCTCACCCAGCTGGCCCTGACGGAGTCCAACAGGTGACACAGGGACTGTCCAGCCCAGCCCACAGGTGCCCACGCAGCCTGGTGCCAGCTCTGAGCCTGGTGCCAGAGGCACTGATGCCCCCTGAGCCAGCTCTGATGGCAGGGAAGGAGCCACTGGCTCATCTGAGCCCAGCTGGGAGCATCCCGCAGAGCCAGGGCTGTGCTGTCAACCAGGGCTGCACATCCCAGCCCAGAACAACTCCCTGGGGAGGGGAAGGAGGCTGGATCGTGTCTGCAGGGTATCCAGGGAGGGAGCTCAGCTGGCTCTCACTCAGTTTCCTGTGTGCCCACAAAGCTGAGGATCTGGCTTCACAAAAGGCTCCACCCGTGGCACTAGCAGGTTACACAGTATTGGGGATAAAATTGAAAATAAGCAGAAAGACACAGCACAGACACCATCCCCACTCCTGTCCTTGTCCCCTGCAGCCTGTGACTGTGTCACCCCCTTGCTCAAAAGCTTTTCTCTCCTCTCAAGGCATTGGGTGGCCTGGGGAACCCAGGTGTGCTCAGCTCCCCTGAGCAAGCACGGGGAGCCTGCCATGCTCAAAAGCTTTTCTCTCCTCTCAAGGCATTGGGTGGCCTGGGGAACCCCGGGCGTGCTCAGCTCCCCTGAGAAAGCATGGGGAGCCTGCTGTGAGCAGGGCACTGCCAGGGCCCCAGACACCGCCCTGCAGGGAGCACTGAGGGCTGGGTACCTTCTCTGTGGTTGACCACAGCAAGAAAAGCCTCTCCCTCGATGACAAAGGCCTCCCAGTCCCTGGCGCTGTGCGTGCTGATCCGCTGGTACGCGATGAACTTGGCTTTCCTGCGGCTCCACTTGAATATCACTGAGAACTCCTGACCCCTCTCATCCTGCTCAAAATTCGCCACTGCCAGGAAGATCTGGGAAAGGAAAAGCCAGGATGGCTTGGGTTTCTCCTCTCAAAGCAGCACGGACAAGAAAACACAGGGGGAGGTGGGATGGAGGTGGCTGGTGTGGCCCTGGCTGGGGTCCTTGAGCTGTCCCCAAGCAACACAAAGTGGGGACAGGGACCCAGTGGCCTGTGGGGGTCC